GGGATGGGGGAAAAGAGAAAAGAAAAAAAGAAGGAAGGAAAAAAATATATATATATATATACAAGATAGCTAAGATAATTGTACTACTAATTTCTGTTGGTTTATTGAAAGGAACAGTTAATGTTTGATTGTTTAATCAATCTTGCATGCCTGTGTCCGATAGTCTGGACAATTACTATGAAGATAACAGTATGTAATACAACAACCATTGTTGATTTCCTGTCATCTTGTTTTGAAATTCTGTATCGTTTTTATTGGTTATGTATTATTTTGTTTTTGTTGTTTTATTTTTGTCCTTTTTGCTTTAAAATAATTTTTAAAAAAATAACACAGGAGCACTTTGAAAAAAATCAGTTGAGAGAGGCCAGCATCCTTGGTTTCCAGAGTGGTCTTCCCGTAACAATCATTGCTCAAAAGCCTACTGCAGTGTTTGAGGCACGAAGATAAGAGCACGTGGAGCCCGCCACCGTGCTGTCCTTATAGGAGTCTCGGTTATGTTTGTGCTGTAAAATGGGGGAAACGCTCCACAGGGATTAGAACAACACACACCTGGTGCTTTTCTACGACCTTTAAAAAGAATGGGACTTTATGAATCCATGACAACTCCTAGAAGCCTTCCCTGTGACTGCACTATGCTCTTCTCACATTCTGATGTGGAGTCAGGAACTCTGCTTAATCCTCTGTCCCAAGCAGTGAGTGGGTCCCGCTGCTGCACTGCGGGGTACGCCTGCAAGTGATGGAGCGTGCAGACAAATGTGGAAGGGGAAATTTAACTTCTTACACTTCTATCGCTCCCGAAAATATCTGCATGCACTGGATTCAGAAGAGACACCTCCTGGAACATGCGATGAGAGGACTAGCGCGTGAGTTACGATGGGTCAGGTTTGGCAACCTGAAAACTGCAGTGAGCGTTTTCCTACGTCCCATTTCTGGGGTACAGGACCCTGAAGGACAGTTAGAAAAGGAAAACAGCAGGGTAGAAAGGCAAAAACGTTTGGGCAGAATAGAAAAAATTCAAATGAAAAAATCAAATTAAAATCTAAAGGTGCAAGGGAGAATAATGAGAAAGGTAAACGACATTTGGTAGGACAGCTCAGATGAAGCAGATCTGTTGGGCATTCTCGAGATGAACACACATTGCTCTTCAAGCAAACAAAAATGGCATTTTTAAGATTTGTGGGTAATAGAAATAAATTTTCAAGAGCTAATTAACTGAGGTAGAGATAGATATAGTAGGATAAGATTAAAAATCATGAAAACTGACTGACATACTGACTGACACAAAATGTGTACATTAACTGAACCGCGCAGTCAGTCTCCCCAGCAGCTGGGCTCCGCGGCAGCACGGAGGGCGGTCTAGGCACGCCCTGTGCTGGGGGAGGGGAAGAAGTCAGAGACCGCATCCGGAGCAACCCTTCCCGCCCCGGCCGCCAGGAGAGGCCGTGGGAGACACACCAAGCCTACTCCGTGTGGCTCCCTGGATGGGGCCACAAGCAAGGATGTGAAGGTGATCCGGCTACATCAGTCACCCCGTTGATCTCCAGGATTGATTCAGCTGACATGGCTGCCTAGGCAGGCGTCCTCTTTGTCCCGCAGTGATCCAGGTGGGTCCTGCCAGAAGCTGCGCACTCGGCCAAAGGGGACGACCACCCCCACAGAGGAGGACCGTTCCTTGGAGGGAGTACTGCGCTCCCCTGCTAGAATCTCCCAACAAGCTCTCAAGGTCTATAGCGCCCAAGCCCCAGGAGAGCAGGGGTGGGGTGGGGTCAGGAGAGGAGATATGCGGCCCTCCTGCAGGGCTCTCCCCTCCTCCTCTCTGCAAGGCTCGCTGAGCATGTGCCCAGTGGAAAGAGCTCTCCCAGCTGGGCAGGTGGTGCAGAGGGGACTGCAGAATTCCTACTGCCCAGCTGCTGGCTGCCCAGGGGTCCGCGGGCATGGAGGGCATGTGAGGAAGAGCCAGGGGCAGGCGTCAGTGGCCCAGCTCTCTGTGAAGGGCAAGAGAGCTGCTGTGCTTGGAAGAAAAACAGACTGATACAGAAGCATTTCACCCAGGGACAGTCGAGGGCCAAGTTCCCCAAAATTGCTTTGGATGGAGGGGCTTCTCCTCTGTTTTCTTGAGTGTGGTAAATATCTGGGATCCCTGTATGAAACTTAAATCCCATTTTTACGTCACTCGTGGTCACCAGGGCAGGCATGACCATGACCATCAGGTGGAGAGGGCGGGTTCCACCGTAGCTGTTGGCACTGCCCTCAGCACCATGCGAGCATGGGACAGCCCTGGTTCCCCGAGAGGCACCAGCGCCGCTGTCAAAGAAGCTTTGGCTGGAGAAAATAAACCGGCTTATAACTTGGAGCTGATAAAGCAGCCATCTCTCCCTCCTGAACAAGGGCCAGCCAGTGTCCCGTGTTGGTATGAGCCCTAGAATGACCACAATTCCAAGTAGGCGTGGAGTGAGCGGCCCCGGGAAGCAGAAACGGATTGGGTGAACGGCCTGCGGGCTCACTGGCGCAGGCCCTTGCTCTTCCACACCCGGGCTCAAGGCAGCATCAACTAGTAGGACCCGAGTGAGCCCAGAGCGCCCCCTGGCAAGCGAGGCCGGCCCAGCGCCAGAGCGTGGGCTGCTTTGCGGGCCGTGGGGCCCACCCAAAGCAGCGGGATCAGAGGAGCGGCCTGCAGCGTGGGGAAGGGCAGAACCCCTCGCCCGCCCCGCCCCGCCCACGTGGGCCGGGAGCAGTGCAGGAGCCTGCGGAGGGGCAGCCGCGCCGCGGAGGGAGCCGGGAACGAACTCAGCCACCAGCCAGCGACCCGGCACCGCAGTACCTCCGCGCCCGTCTGCACAGGGTCAGCCTGGACTGGGGGTCTCGGCGTCGTCCTGCGTTCAGAGGCTGCCTGTACTCAGTCCCAGTACCCCCAAGGGGCTGCTGCCCGGGACCCGGCCTCTGGGGCTTATTTCACGCATCATCACGGAGGACGCACGTTTTCATGGACATGCAAAGTTCCGTAAGCACTGAACCCATATTAAGGCTCAAGGGCCGCTACAGCAGGCTTCATCTCGAAAACGCGGTTGTCCCCTACGTGCGGTTCATGGCCTCCGGATGGGACCGTGCAGGTGTAGATTTTCTTAAGCACATCAAATTTAGCTTTCAAAACAGTGGTAAATATGTATTCATTATAAAACAAAGTGAGTTAGCTTAACTTTTGAAGAATGGTCTCAGTGACTGCATTTATCTTTTTGAAGATTTTTGTCTTACCTGTGCACGTTTGCGGTCCACGCAGCTTACAACTGTCTTGGGGAGTTATGACAAGTACACGCTGCGGGGTGTTTCCTCTCTCGTCTCCTTCCCCTGCTCTCCCCTCCCCGGCCTCCTGCTCCAGCTCCCCCACCCCGTCGTCCGCCCCGGTGACACACGGGAAAGGACGCGTTCATTTCTTAGCCTGGGAGCCAAGGCAGCCTTCGAGGACCGCGCGGTGGTTTCCTGAAGGCGCGCGAAGCCCGGGCTGCAGTGGCGGCGAGGAGCCTGTGGGGGCCGCTGTGGCGCTGCCTGCTCTTGACTTTCACGGTAACATTATTCCAAGGTTCCTCCCTCAGGCAGACGTGTCAAAATTGCCGGATTTGTCTAATTATTGTTGTTTTCTGTAACAGAAAAAGATGAACCATGCGGTTCTTACTGCTAGAATTCTTTTGGAGCTATTATTTATTGCCAAGTTGGCGTAAACACCATATCTTTAAAACTATTCATTATTTAAATTTTTATTAGCTCGTGTTTGCAGCACATAACGATGACATTCACGGCAGGGAATCGCTACACGCGCGTAACACCTTCCAGTCCCCTTTCACTCCCCTCTCCCACCGCCTTTTATTTTTCCAGCACCAGATTCATTTAGTTATCTTAGAAGACCTTATAAAGTTAATTACCATATGTACAGATTGAAAACCAGACTAATAGGCTAAAAAATATATAAAACATGTAAGACAGTTGTATAAAGTCAAGGTAGACATCCACACTGATTAAAATACCCTTTTGTATCTTGTTCTTTTTTCTACAATCTGTCCTTGTTCATGCATGGTTTTTATATGAGCTCATGTAATATCGAGGCTTGTGTGTCTGAGTTACTTCACTTAACATTATGATCTCAAAGTCCATCCATTTTCCTACAAATGACTCAAGTTTATCCTTCTTTATGGCAGAGTAGTACTCCGTTGTGTGAAAATACCACATTTTTTATCCATTTAGGTGTTGAGGGACATATAGGTTGTTTCTGAGATTTAGCTATTATGAATTCTCCTGCTATAATCATGGATATGCAGACATCACCATGTTATGTTAACTCTTTTGGGAAGATACCTAGAAGGGGACTAGCTGGGTGAAATGGAATTTTCCTTGGGACATAAGTTTAGTGCAGCGGTTCTCCATATGTGGTAGATTTGCACCTAGGGAGCATGAGGCATTGTCTGCAGACATCTTTGGTTGGCATGGCTGTGGAGGTGGGGCTGGGCCACCTCGGGTGTCCAGCGGGTGGGGCAGTTCTGCACCAGCTCCTCCTGAGGGGGGCAAACCCCTTCAGTCAGGCCCGGGGCCTCAGGCAGCCTCCCAGCCACGGTGGGATGCTCTTCTGCGAGGAAGCGGGGGGAACGGAGACGGTACTGAGGTCTGATCCACCCTCTGCTTTGTGTGGCGTGCACATATAGCGGAGAAGACTCGTCCACGGCTGTCTTCCACGTTACACATTAAACACCAGGAATGGGTTGGGGGCACTGCAAGTTCTCTATATTTCTACGTTTTTGAGAAATACTAATTAACTGTATATAAAAATATAGCGTATTCCATGTGTCCACCATTTCGAGCGAGAATACATTAACAGATTCACTTCAATTAATTCCTGAAAAGAAAGAAACATTGCTGAGAACAGGAAATCCATTTGTTTGTCTCCCTAATCTTCTAGCTTCGTTCCAGGAAACAGTTACCATAACAGAAACGGTTTGCACATACAGCTCGTCCATGTTTTTCCAGTTCTACTTATATGTGTACTTACAGGTAATATGAAATCTTATCACATGTGTTTTATAATGTTGGCTCTGCGGCTCTGTGCTTTCTTTACCGTGTGGTCTGTCTCGATTTGCTTTCTGAGTTTAGTGGTAGGAGGAATGCAAAGGAAAGTGGAGAGTGTTTTGAGAAAAAAGCAAACTGGTAGGCAGTTTCACACTTGGCTACACTTTGCAAATGCTTTGTGAAATTATTATAAGTAGAAATTAATTTTTTAACCTTAACATGTAGAACACTGGTCTATTTGGTGAGGCTTTCATAAGTGCTCCTTGTGACAGCACAGGAGGCACTAAGCTGGAAACGGTCAGCCTTGAGTCACTTCTCTTTCCGACCCTGTAACAATTCCCGCCTGTCAGGACCTGTTTCCTCCCGTGTGAAACACTTTCCGTTCTATCCTGACATCGTTCGGAGCAGTGAGTGTTTCTGGTGACTGTTCATGCACAAGACAAGTTGGGAGGTTTACTTTTCCGTTCACATTATCACCTGGGGGATGCTCATTTACAGGTCAGCAGGTAACAAGGCAAGAAAATCGGAGGTAGGAAAGGAGAAATTAAAGGTGGTTGGGAAGTCCAGCCGAGCCCGCCCGTGTTTTCTCACGTGGCGATTATCATCAGAGCTGTTTGTTCAAGAGCTTCACAGTTTGAACACCTGCCGGGGAGAAGGGGCTGGGGAGAGAATTCATTTCTCTGATTAAAGCAGGTGTTCTCTTATGGTCCGAGGCACGGCTAGGGAACGAGCGCGGTGGCTCTGGGTCCCGGTGGAGGCGCTGGGGTTGCGCTGAGGCTGCAGGCCGTGCTCCCCGTAACTGGGGGGAGAAAAGTAACGCGTGGTGGAGACAGTTAGCTGCCCGTCGTCATCTGCCCTGTGGTCCAGCGAGCGCTGACCGCTGATGGACATTTTACCAGTCGGTTCTATTGTCTGCCAAAGGGCCAGAGCAGGTGCCCACCACGGGCCCTGTATATCTAAGTAATCGCTAAATACGGGCTTCATCGAGCCGTTGCCTTTTCTCAACTGCTTCATGTTCAACATCCTGAGGTCTGACGGGTATTGCTGGAGCAGCGGGCTCACAGGCCGTTTCTAAACGGCGTTGAAATAGTGGGGCCCACGCAGCTTCTTCAGAAGAACACGGTGATCCTCACACAGAGTTGGGCAGGAGCCGTCCAGCTGGAGCCAACATAGCAGCTTTTGGTTCCGCTCCCTCATGCGCCGATGGGGGAAGATTAGCACCACAGAGCACACTGTCCCTGATGCCGACCAAGACTGAGAGGAGATTTGGGGGGATTAGGAAATACTTTCCCAACACACTCTTGCTTTACTTATAAGCACAGGAGCTTTAGAGAATGCTTGGAAAGGCTTGGGATATAAAATGTTCCAGATTTGGAGGTTTTTGTATTTTGAGTATTTGCACAGATTTTATAGGTTACTTGCACAATAATATACATTGGATCTTGGTATCATTCAAAATGATCCTTTTTGTGCCATTATCACCTTATTTGTATTAATGTCTTTTTATGAGCATGTGTTTGCATTCCATAATGATCAGATTGCTCCGGGGGAGTTTTTACACGTATGCAAAAGAAACTCAAAATATAAAGAGCAAAACAATCATAGGTAACAGGAAGTAGAAGATCTTTTTCAAAATGATCTGGTATCATTTAGGAAAATAAAAGTCTTTTTAAATATTATGATAAGTGAGACTAAAATGAAAGTTGGAAATGAACCCAACTTTTGGAAGCCTTCACTATAAACGGAAGAGTGAATGCTGGGTGAATTTCTCACCATCTCTTGTCAAACGAGTGCATTCTTTAGTCTGGAAATACCTGGTGCCTCAGCGCCTGGTCACACTCCAAACAGGACGCGCAGGCTGAAAGGCTGGCGGAAACGCAGCGACGCTCTAGGGCTGCTCTGAAGGCGGCTCGCGCCCAGAGGCGGGACCGGAGCAAGGACGCAGGCCCGCGCGTACCCCCGGAGTCCCCCTTTTAACTTCTCCACCCAGCCCTTGAAACAGCATCGCCTTCTGGGATAGCTTTAGCCTTCTGCCAGCCTGGGTGAGTCAGCTACTGCGATGGGTGCGCCCAATGTCCTTCTGCACTCGTCCTTAAAGGAAAAGCAGGAAAGGAACAGAACCCCAACTTAATAACAGCAAAAAGTAAATCCTCTCTTAGGGGGTCCCTTTGAGATCTCATCTGAGTTCACCTAAAAGAACAGTTTCCCTTGATGCAGCTCAGTAATTACAATGCTACATCTATGTTAGGACCATGTGCTCTGCTTTCCTACTTCTTTTCAGTACCTGCATTACATGTTATCCAAGCAGAGCAGGAAGCAAGAGAAGCAGTTGCCAGGCTAGGTGGCGCACGCCTGCGGTCCCAGCACCCAGGGGCTGAGGCAGGAGGATTGCGGTGACTTACAGGCCTGTCTGGACTACATAGTGAGTTCAAGGCCCAGCCTGAACCGCAAATGAGACCCTGACTCAAAAACCAAAGAGAGAGTGAGGGAAGTAGATTTTTATGCAGCAATACATGGATGATTGATACGAGATAAAGAGATAGGATAGAGCCCCTGATGGAGGGTTGACGGGTAGTCAGACCTACCCAGTCCGCTGCACCTGGGGCCAAGAGAGTGAGTGAGTTATAATTCCTGTTGATATAGGAAAATAGAAACCCAACCTGAACAATATCTGGGACGAGTTCATGTTCTCTAAAATCAAAGAATAAATTTTAGGAATAACAGAGGTTAAGAGCAGAATTTATTGAAGGAAAGAAAGCTTCTGTCCAAGAGAGGGACAGAAAGGGGGGCCCGAGTGGATTGTCCCTATCATTTAAAATAGTGGGTTTTGAGTCCTTTCAATGTATGCAATATATGGTCTTAATTTAGATACAGTTATGCAGCTAATCACTCTGTAGGTATATAAATGCCCCTTTGGATAAGCTATACAAGTGCTATATTAAGGGCTGGGGATTTAGCTCAGCGGCACAGCACCTGCCTGGCAAGCATGAGGTTGTGAGTTCAATTCTTGGTACCTGAAAAAAAAAAAAAAAGTTATATTAATAGCTACAGTGCATGTGGTGTTGTGAATAATTTAGGAATGCTCTGGCTACAGTTTGACCCTTTAAATTGCATTTTGCCAAATGAAACTCTTCTTCTACTGAGTAATGTGAAGACTGAAATTCCTTTCTTTGCGGTGCTCGGGACAGAGTCCGGTGCACTCCAGTTGGACACCAGCCCCCCTGACTGCTCTTTGACAAGGTGGTAGGCTAAGCATGACCATTCTCTCAGTGAAAATGAGACACACCAAAAAGTTGTATTTAATATATTCCTGAACACTTTCTAACTCTAAGCCCAACAAAATAAAAATAAAAGCATTTGGTAGCAAATACAGCACATCGATTTAAAATAATACTGTAAGTTGAGTACACTTGCATTTAAAATCATTTGCAACTATTTTAACACTGTAGGGAGAGCGGACATCATGAAATTAGTGGCAGCATGCTCAAAAGAGTGCACGTCTTCTGGGTCGGCTCCTTCTCCATTGTAGCTCGTCTACAGTATCTTAGGCACAGAGAAGCGAAATGGTATTTGTGACATCTGCTCCTCTTAAGAGACCGAGGCTGAAAATGTGTTTAATAACGATATTACTATCAGCAATAGTTACGCTTTTCTAACACTTTACACATTTTATGCTTTTGCATACTTTGTACGTATTTTTTAAATGTTGTGATTGCAACTTGTGGTTGGGCCTTGCTTTTATATAGCTCTAAAGCACCAGTCACAAAAGACTAAGTGAAATCAATTGAATGCACAACTTCGCAGTGGGAAGGGGGAGAGGAGACGGCCTCACTGTAAACAAGCAAGAACAGCTCACAGTGGGACGACTGCCCTTGGCCAGGGGCCAGAAATGTGAGCAGGAGGCAAACTATTACAGAAAAGAAATGAAATTATTGTGGAAGACCACAAAATGTGTGTGTGTTGATATATGAAATATATCAAGTTGGGACTACATAGTGAGTTCGAGGCCGGCCTACACTATCACGCAAGACCCGTCTCAAAAAAACACCAACCCAACCAGATACAAAGAGGAAAGCCAATCAGACAGAGAAAGGTGTAAGTGGTAAAATTCCTCTTGTGTCTACTGTTCTGCGCTAGGTCCAAGACAGATCCCAGAAATGCGTGCTCTAGCCAGGTTTGCAGGGGGATTTGTGCTGGGTGTGAGTCTGCTCTCGGCCTCTGGACTTGGTGGATGGGATTAGTGTTCTGTGGCTGGGGTTCTCTCCAGCGCTTTAGGACAAAGTAAGGCAGCCCTACCCACCCGCTTCTCATCCGCGTGTCTTGGTGCCGAACCACTATGCTGATTCGCCGAACTTATCAGCTGTTGGCTCAGGTTGCTACTGCTGCTTCGGGCTTTTCCAGGCTGCTAGCCCCGCCTTCCCACCGTGTGCACCCCAGCCGGGGCCCTCTGGATGGAGGGAGGGTCCACCGGCGATCTCACAGCCCGCGCGGCCCTCTGATCTGGCCATATTAAAATAGACAGGGTTTTTTTTTTCCTTGCCGTCACATTTCTCCCCCAGAGCTGCAGTAAGGCAGTCGTGCCCCACAGGAAAGGGGAGAGGCCCCCCAGTGTCACCCGCAGGCTTGCATCTGCCCCCTTGTATGCGCCTGAATTTGCCCAGGGCCATAGCTGCAGTCCTCTCATTGCAGCTTCACTTCCCAAGAATGTTTTGTACTGTCAAAGGCTGCATGAGTCCTTCAAGGAATAATACAGAGCTTTTGCTTCTCCTGGGAAGAAGGAAAAAGCTCCTCTCGTATTCTCACAAGACCATATGCTGGTTAAAATCAAAGGCTTAGCTCACAAGGCTAGTTATTTTAAAAGAAAAAGGAAAAAAAGGAGATAAAGAAAAAATGGTGGTGGCTGGTGATTCATGTCCGCATGAAAGTTACATAGTCAGGCGGCTGGGGATTTAGCTCAGCGGCAAAAGCGCCCGCCTGGCAAGCGC